CTCTCTGACCTTGTCCACCCGGCAACGGCAAATCAGGCAGTGCCTTCACCAGCTCAACCATCAACGGGTGACCATTCTGCTGCTGCCTCCTTTCCCGCCAGTGATGCCCTAGTGGACCCGGCTGTGTACGCTGAAGAAGTAGTCAACACAACCTCCACTTCGAGCAACAGCAGCCGGCGAAAGTTGCTCGCCGAGCGGGTCGCCTTCGTCGGCGTCATCATGGACATCATCCCCGACGAGGTGGAGCTCTTCTTTGAGAACCTGAACGTCTCCATGCACGCCATCGTCTTCACCTCCATCATCGCCATCTTCTGGAGCTTCACCAAGGTGCTCACCTCCTTCGTCAACTCCTCGCGGAAGCAGGGAGAGCTGAGAGGTGAGTTGTAGTGCTGTGTTTGTTTTGTTTACGTATTTTTACGACTGTTTACCTTACCAACCCCGCAGATATCACCTGTCAGGTGCAGCGCAAGATATTTTACTTTGAAGCTGAAAAGGTTTGAAAAGCTTTGCTGTTTCTATTCTTGTTTCTGTTGTTTCTAAACATTTCTCTTTTTTTAATGTTGTGCAGGACAAGGTGAAGGAGGAGGCGCAGACGGCCAAGGAGATGGTAGGCTTTTGTTGTTTGCTAAAGTGTGTGTTTTGTTTTGCTAAATCTTTCTCGCTTTTTCTTCTTCTTTAGTTGCAAGTGCGCGAAGTCGAGCTTCGCCAGCTAGGCCTGAGAAAGTCCCAACTGGAGCAGGAGAATGAGGCACTGAAGGTGAGCACTTTTCAAACTTTTCATTGACAAAACCCTAATCAAACCTTTCTATTTTTCTACACAGGCTGAGCGAAACCGCTACACGAGCGAAATTGAAAGCCTGCGCGGACGGGCCAGCGAGGCGTCGCAAAACTCCTCTCGTCTGAACACCACCCTCGATGACCTGACGCGGCTGCAGAACGAGAAGCGCGACCTGGAGCTGCTCAATGAGGACCTGGAGGAGAAGGTGACCCGGCTGGAGGGGGAGAAGGCGACACTGGAGGGGACGGTGGAGAGTCTCACTGAAAAGGTTTGTTATTGCTTTTGTGCTTTGACCTTCTTTCTAACGACCTCCTTCTTAATCTTTTAGAACAAGAAGCTGACCGCGAAGAGCAAGGAGATGGCCGCCGAGGCGGAGACGCTCCTCGGGCGGCTGAAGGAGGCGGAGCAGAGCTGCGCCCTGCTGCAGGCGGAGACGGCCAGTCTGCAGTCGACGAAGATTGCCCTCCACGAGGAGCTGCGCAACCTCAAGGACGACCTGCTGGCGGCGGAGGAGCGCCGCGGCGAGCTGACCGAGACGGTGCAGCTGCAGACGGCGGCGCTGGCCGACGCCCAGTCAAAGCTCACCGCCCTGGTGGGCGAGCTGGACGGGAAGAACGCCGACCTCGCCTCGATGCGCCAGCTGCTCAGTCAGCTCAACAAGGAGGTGGTCAGTCAGAAGGGAAGGGCGGAGGCGGCCGTGGCGGCTGCTGCTCAACGACGACGACTGTCCTCGCAGCGGAGCACTGAACAGCTGCAGCAGCAGCAGCTGAACGGCATTGAAGACAGTGCTGCTGCTGCTGAGGCTGAGGCTGCCGCCGCCCTTGACGCCCTCAACGGAAACGTCGGCGGGGACGTGGAGGCCCCCACCACCACCACCACCACTACCAGCAAAAAGGCCGACGAAGATAAGGAAAATGAGGAGGAAGAAGAGGGTGGCGAAACTACTACCTCCGTTTCCGACCTGCAGGACATCGTCAAGCTGCAGCTCCGCCTGACGGCCACCGAGCTGGAGCGGGGCGCCCTAGCGGCGAAGGTCAAGTCGCTGGAGGCGGCTCTGGAGAGCTCCCGGGCGGAGCTGGCCGCCCTGCAGCGCAGCAACGCCTCGCTGAAGGCGGCGACGGAGGCGGCCGAGCGAGAGCGCGACAAGGCGGTGACCGGGCTGGAGGTTCTGAGCAAGCACTTCAAGGACAAGGAGCTGGAGTTTGGCCGGGAGATTGGCGTGCAGCTGGTGAAGCG